AAAATGACTTCGTTCAAAACATTTACCACATTATTATTATTATTATTATTATTACTATTATTGTTTGATCCACTAAATCACCGTCATTGGTTAAAATTTTATATATATAAGTCTATGTAAATTAGAGTAAAGCCTGAAGAAGATCTAATTGAAAACAATATTGTTCGCTTATATGTCTTCTCCATTGAAATCTTGAAACCTCATATCGCTGTGTGTGGGGGAGACATAGGTGCATAGTTCTGAAGACCTCAGGACTGGCAAGAAATCGCTGTCCAGTACCCTCTGGTTTTCGGTGGATCACTAAGTGATTTCAATGCGTGATTTAACTTGAAATCGGAGTTCCCACAGAACAAGACTTGGAAGGTAAACGTAATAGTAAATTAGAAGTTAATTGATGAATGGTGACTAGCAGTGGAATCCAGGACAACGCGCATTTCATTCTATTTGGGACTCGTCATCTGTATGCATGTATTTAGGTTCAACAAATCTGTTATATCCTTGAAACTACCAGTGAGATTTCACATCGCGTTCTTTAACAGTTTACAATAAATTTATAAATGGTCTGAGTCTAACGGTCTTAAACTGAATCCTTCTAAATGTCAAACTGTCAATTTCAGCTTAAGATGTAAAAGGCAGTTAGAAGAAGCCATCAATTCTCATGACAGTTGTAAAATTGACCACAGGGATATAGGAATTAAATAAGAAATTGAGTATCTTGGAATTATTCTCTCTTCTGATCTCTCCTGGTCTTCCCATATCTTAGCCATCTCCAGTAAAATATTCCGCATGACATTTTACATTTAGAAGTTAAGACACTCCGGTATAACTCAACCCCTCCCCTTACAGTTCATAAATTCTTGTATCCTACCTGTTCTTCTTTATTGTTCACAATTATTCTTTCCTGGTTTGTTTAAAAAGGCCTATGTTACGATTCGTAGAATGCTGAAGACGGTCAGTAGGGTGAGTGGTGTCCCAGTGGACCACATAGCTAAATTCTTTGTCTTGGACAAAAAAGGCCGCGAGGATACCGTCAGCATTGACCGTCTGAAACCGGCTTACTTGGAGGGTAATCCTATTAGCATAAAGCTCAACGTACCCCAAAATCCACAAGTAATCGAAGATCGTTTAGACCTAAATGAAGTCACTGGCACAGCGACAGCTACCGAACCTTCTGTCGAGCCCCCTAATAAAACCCGTTCTGGACGTACCGTAAGGTACATAACGAAGTCGTGTGATTCACCTAACTCATTCGTTTATGGTACTAACTATTTTTTTTAGACGTATCGTTTTTTTTATATACAGTATCACTAAACACAAGTAAATTTATTTTCTTCAACAGTACATGTAACATGCACAAAAAAATAATTAGATGTATTTTTTTTCGATGTTCTGAACTTAGCATTATTTTACAGTACAGAAAATGCACATAATTTTTTTTAACCAAAAAGCTCATTTCGTACATTTTCCTCGACATGGTTCTTAGCGTTCTTGTTTTCTTTTCCAGGTGCGACAGGCACTGGACAAGAAACAAACGAAGCGCGGAATCCAACGAACAACAACAAGGAAGCTATGTACAAACACCCTATTAGCATAGGCAGACAAACCAGTAGGCATACCACAAAGCCGCTCGGAAGATTTTTTTCACCCGAAAGGGAACCATCGAGCTTTTTTACTTCCGGCTGGTTCTGTCTTAGGGTCCTCACGACCCCACTAGGGGAGGAGTGAGCTGTAGCGGTAAATAATTCCCCAAAATTATTGACCATAGCAATCACTCATCGGATGCTGACCACCACTGTTTAAGTCGACTTGTTTAGCTGAAGGCTTCCGGTCAAGCATCCCCGCCATTTGGTACCCCGTCGTGTCACGTGCACGATCACTAGCCAGCTAATCGTTCGTCTGACGGCTTGTTTTGGTCCCGAAATATATCACGTAGTTTGAACGATCAAATATTGGCTTTTGCTTTGCCTTTGGTACGCGAGAATTAATAGGTTAGAAGTTGAGTATAGGAACCTGCGTAAATATACATTCGTACTGTTCGCGAACGTCTATACCGTCAACCTCTAAACTGTGTATGCTCGCACATCTAAGTATAAAAATTCTATGATACCATACTTGGAACGTATTTTATGTGATGAAAATAGTGTCAGGGAACAATTAGCTAACCTTTCTTTTCATTTAGTAAATAAACAATTTCCTCCATCCATCCATATATACCTTCAAGTTTTACTTTTATTATTTCTATTATATTTATGGTCCTGTCGCTTCTTTGTTTTTCTCTCATAATTGCAAACACCAACTTATCTCTATGACTGTCTGTCTGTTTGTCTGTTTTCGACATAGAACTTTGCACAAATGTGCGGAAGTTCAAGTCGCCACATTCCGTGTAGCACGCGAAGCAAGAGAAGAAAGTACAAGAAAAGCATAATAGAAACAGTGAGCAGAGGTGTGAGACAAAGGAGTAATAAAGAAATACAAAACAGTTTCATTGAAGATCATAAGTCACAGGGAGTGGATGCATCTGCGCCACTGAGAACGATTTTGAGCCATGTCACCAATTGTTTCCAACCATAGATTTTTACCGTCCCGAGGACCCCAGCCTGGAAGTCTACACCTTTCTACGTGGCTTAGACCAACTGTTGTGGATTTCATTGACTGGTGCCAAGTTTTTGTTTGACCGCCGCTAGCTTTTTTCCAGCCTGACCCTATATCCGCTAACATTGCTCGTCGAGGGAGGCGATGGCTTGGCATACGTAACACATGTCCTAACCATCTCAGTCTTTGTAGCTTCACGACTTCGTCGATTGATTTCCCCTGTTTACCTAGAACTCTACGCCTAACCTCCATGTTGCTCACCTTATTATGCCACTTTACACGGGAAATAGAACGCAGGCACCTATGATCAAAGACAGCTAGTCTTTTCATGTCTTCCACTCTCAGTGGCCAGGTCTCACAACCATAAAGGAGGACGGAGCGGACTGATGAGCAGTACACCCGCCCTTTGGTCGATAGTCGAACATCTCGTCTACGCCAGAGTCGGCGTAAACTAACAAATGCGAAACGAGCCCCTTGTATTCGTGCTGAGATTTCGTCAGAGATCAGCCCGTTGGGGCTGATGGTACTTCCCAAATAAGTGAAGCGGTCAACGTGCTCTACCACTTCACTTCCTATTTTTAAACTAGGCGTCGATGTAGTCCAGTCCTGTAACATCATCTTGCATTTGGCGGGAGCGAATCGCATGCCAAACATTCGTAGATTGCGGCTCAAGGTGTTTAGAAGACTCTGCATTTCGTCAGCGTCTTCGCCTAGAAGGACTATATCGTCTGCATATTCCAAGTCAACGAGATTATTCCCGGTAGCAAGTCAATCCCTGAGTCGCTGAAGTCACCTAGGGTTAAGTCCATTAACACATCTATGATGAAGTTGAATAGAAAAGGAGATAATGGGCATCCTTGACGGACACCACTGGTCGTCATCAGTTCAGATGACAGCTCGCCGTAAGCCCTCACCTGGCTGTATGAGTACGAATAGAGTGCCTTAATCAGTGCAATATATTTTCTTGGAATTCCCTTTACAGCCAAGCATCTCCAGAGAACTTCCCGATCGACAGAGTCGAATGCTGCCTTTAGGTCAAGAAATATAATGACTGTTGGACGCCGGTAGGAATGCCTATGTTCTAGAATCTGTCGGAGGGTGAAGATATGATCAATACACCCTCTTCCTGGTCTAAAGCCTGCCTGGCTCTCTCGTGTTTGTGCTTCCCGAGCACCACTCAGTCTACGCATGATTATTGAGCCTAAGACTTTAGATACTATATTAGTCAAGCTAATCCCTCTGTGATTATCACAGGAAGACTTGTCTCCCTTCTTGTATATGGGGATAATCAGTGACTTACACCAACCCGATGGGACTTCTTCTGATTCCCAGACGCTGCCTAGTACCTCAGTTAATCCGGACAGTAAGCTGTCTCCACCGTACTTAAATACCTCTGGAGCATTCCATCAGGTCCCGCTGCTTTGCCTAGTTTCAGATTGGTGACAGCTTTAGTAACCTCAGTTAGTGACGGAGGACCTGTGTCTATATCCCATTCAGGGAGGTGTTGGATGCTCGGAAGGTTGAGCGTGGCTGTGGGCAAATTAAACTGCTCCTCATAATGCTCTTTCCAACGATCCAGTCGTCTATCCTGGAGCTAATTATAGTGCCATTTTTTTCCGAGATTGTCTCACTAATGATTTGTCTTCTCCCACCCGTTTCCCTGATGAGTCCAAAGAGTTGCCTGGTGTTGCCTATCCTCAAAGCTTTCTCCATCTCTTTAGCTTTTGTCGCCCACCACTGTTCACGGTCCTTGCGGAGACTTTTCGTAAGTTTCCTCTTGTGCAGCTTTCGCTCCTCATTGAATTCGGAGCTCGCGGGAATAAGTCTTCTAGCATCTATCAGTTCGGATGAGGCGGTGGAGATCCAGTGGTTTTTACTCACCTTTGGGTTTACCTTATTCACAGCTTTTACAGCTGTATCTATGGCTGCCTGGATATTTTTCCAAGCTTCTTCAGGGTGAGCACAGCTGTCGAACACAGGTATGTGTTCTGTAATCTTTGTTTTTCCCCTCACCATATCATGTAAAGAGAACATTATATTCGATATTTTTAAACATGCTAGGATTTCCATACCGCATTGACAACAGCCCTCGGCATTTTTCACTTGTATTCATATTATTATCACCCTAGCTGTTATCATTATTATTATTTCCGTTTTATATGCTGCATGTTTTTGACGCTACCTCTATTGTAAATGTGAAAAATTTTCTGTGTGATCAATTTCACTTATAATTTGAAGAAATTAGATGCAATATTGTGATTAATGCTGAAAATTCCATTCTGTATCACATGTACTGCTTTTGGAATAAAGTAAATCATTATTATTATTATCAATTAATTCATACACTTTTATAAATTATTTTCATGTGAGGAAAAAATATATATGTATAGATTTACATTTTAGAGTGAATGATGTCTTCAATCTGGCTGTATATTAAAGACAGTTTCATTCTAACTGTCCCTATTATTGCCTACTGTCTCCTCAATCTGATTATCAGTATTCGACTGTATTTATTTCCTATCTATAAAAGTCTGAAGAACGAGGTGATCTTGATAACTGGTAAGTTTTTCCTGGAGTATTTTCGTTTGTCTTCTAAGCATTACTATTTCAGGATTTCATCATTAGCTGACATCAGTTGAGGGAACCATTGGAAAACCTACAGGGAGTACTGGACCACTGTTTCCCCTATCCTAGTTTAGGAATCTTCATCAGTACGCACCCATCACCGCCGTTCGAACCCAGGACCTATTGGATACAAGACGAGCTGGCTCGTAGACCATTGAGTCACTAGGACCTGATCCAATGGCCAGCTCATGAACTCCAACTTCTGCGAATTCACGACATAACGCGAAACCTAGCCTAGGTTCGACCCCCGGCGGGTGCATACTGATGAACAGTCCCAAACTAGGACGAAAAAGCTGGCCGTCCAGTACTCCCTGCAGGTTTTCCAATGGTTCTGTAACTAATGTCAACTCATGATGAAATCCTGTAACCAGTCAGCCATACCCCTAGAAAACAACACTTGAACATTACTATTTCAATTTTCTGTTGTTATTGTTATATAGGTGCTGGGAATGGATTGGGTCGATATTTATGCGTAGAATTTTCAAAATACTGTCCAAGTATTCTAGCCTTGGATATTGATGAAAAAGGATTACATGAAACCGCTGAATTAGTGTCCACTGTCACTGGATGCTCAATAAAAACGTATACGTGTGATTTGAAGTAAGTTTTTATACATTCATAGCCGAATTAGTTCGGAAATAACACCACTTTTTAAAGAGATAAACAAGCAGTTGATAAAATCACTGAATTGATCATTCAGCAATATGGTGGAATCACAGTGCTAGTAAATAATGCTGGTATTCTCAAAGGAGGACCATTTCTAAAAGGTACTATGGAAGATTTTGAAGATATGCTCAAGGTGAATACACTTGCTCATTATCAGGTTCGTTAGCTAGTCGGTTTTTTGTTTTTTTCCTTGTTCATTGAAATAAGTGTGATTCTCTCTATTATTTTAATGCTTAACATGTAATTAGAAGTCAATTGGTGAATGGTGACTAGCAGTGGAATCTAGGACAAGGCGCATTTCGTCTTATTTGGGACTCATCAGCGACTAGATGTACCTTCGTTCCCCAGTGAGTGTTGATGTTCGAGCCTCGATGGGACCACCAATATCCCCTATCGTAGCAGATATATATTTATGGACAGCTCGGAAAACACTGCTCTTAATACATTTAATCCTACTCGAAAAATATGGTGGGTATATGTGGTTGACACTTTTCCACACAGTGTTAAATACACAACATATGTCTCTCTCTCTCTAGCTTGTTGTCTCATTTAAACTCACTAGTAGAGGGAATAAAATTCACATTCGAATCGGAAAATGAACAAGGAGAATTAGCTGTGATGTTAGATTGTAAAATCAAACGAATAGAAGAAGGTAAACTGCACACTAGCGTTCATAAAAAGCTAACGCATTCTGCTAATAGATATTTAGACTTTAATTCATCTCATCCGTTAACTGTTAAGGCAGGCTTAGTTAAGTGTCCAACAAACCGAGCAGTAGTACTAAGTAGTGCAAGAAAAGACCTAAATGGTGAAATAAAACAGATAGAAGACGCGTTGCTGTTAGATAACTAAGTATTCTATAAAATTCATTAGAAAGGTCAAAAAAGGTCACAAGCAAGATAAAAATAATCGTGAAACTAGTAATGATAACATTAATAAGAAAGAATATAAGTCATCCACTGTTATACCACATAAGGAGGGACATCTGAGAACCTACGTAGTAGGATTCTCAATAAAGCAGGAATTGGAGTGGCATTCAAACCTACAAACTCACTCAGGTAGGACAAGCTCTGTAGGCTAAAAGACCCTGTCGATTGACCCAACTAAACAAAATGATATAATTTACAAAATATCTTGCAATGACTGTGATTGACGTCAACTATATAGGTCAAACTAGTAGGTCTTGGGTAGTCAGATTGTCTGTGGGAACATAAGAATTTAGCTAAGATAAGAATGGTTGATCCCACCCGAGAAAATGATTAGTTTAAAAAAAGCTCAGCACTGCATTCCACTGCATGCATTAACACAAATCCACAAAATAGAATGGGAGAGGGTTAAAATTCTAAGAAGTAATCTGATCTATGTAGGTGGAGACAGAGAGAGAGATTGATTACTGAATTCTTGTTCATCGAATCTACACCTAACACGTGCAATAGGAATGACTCAACAGATATCAAAGATATTATTACCAATCAAATAATATTAAAATTTTATTTCAATTCACGTACAGCACAATATTCTAACAAGCTACTTATTATGACTATAAAAACACTCGTCTTATTTGTCACCTGATTGTATTTGATTGATGACCCAGTACTATTTACGAATGTACTTAATCTTATACTAATTTTTATTCAAATGTCTAATCATCAATTTCACTGATTTTTATAAATGAAGCAAGAAAGTTGTGTGAGTGAGTGACTTGATATGATTATGAGTGGCAATAATTTGTGCTCGAAACGTGGACGTCATCAGTTAATATTACTGCTGTATAACAACACTGTGTAATATATCAAAATAAAATCTTGTCCCTAATGGAGTTATACTCTACCCACACAGTGACAAAGTTTTATACTTATATCAATTAAATAACTAAACGTGTAGTTCATGTTTTTGTAGGAAAATAGTTTTTTACAAGAGAGTTAGTGTATGAAAATATTCTTCTTCATCACTAATGTAAGTCTGTAGTTGTTGAGTTCGTTGGTTAGTTAGTTAGTTTGTATTATTTATTGGTGAATACTGCCGTTTAAAGTTTTGTAGCAGTTTATAACTAAGCGCTTAATTGTAGCAATGTGCTTTTTTGTCAGCTTGTCTTTTTTTGTTTTTAAAATATGCGTTCAACTGGTGGTAAAAACAGAAGGATACATTTTTGTTATTGTTGTTGTTACTGTTGATAGAATGGTGTCTTTTCCAGCTAAACTTGTGGTATAACAACAGCAATTATTTGACGTTTCACTACTCCTGACAACATTTCCGATTATGTTTTTATGAGTTGATCACGGATTGATATCAGTTAGAGAACCACTGAAGACCAGGGAGTACTGGACAGCTGTTTCATCCCACTAGTTTGGGAATCATTGGCAGTATGCAACTACCGGGGTTCGAAACCAGGACCTTCTGGTTACCATGCCGCCACTGGAACCAGATTCAATAGCCAATTCATGAATTCTAACTTCTACCGATTTGTGATTTAGCGCGACTTCAACAAGTGTCCTTGGTGGGATGAAACAGTAGCTGTCCAGTACTCCCTTGGTTTTCAATGTTTCTCTAACTGATATCACTCCATGATCAACTCGTAAAAACATAACTAACCCTTACAAAGCAAACTATAGAAAATTTCTATTTATTGCTATGATTATTGCTTATTTCTATTCTCCTTATCAATATACAATGCTATAATTGGTGATAAAAACTGGAAGTGTTTTTGAAGTGGATCCCGAGTGATTATTTGTAAGGAGTATTAGTTTATTTCTGGCAATATTTTATTTAGTTTATCAGTCTTAATTGACCAAGGCAAGAACAATACACTACAAAGGATAGAATAATGTCATCGTATTTCTTAGTTAATTCTTTCTATCTATGTAAAACGAAGAACAGTTTAATATCAGTACGCCAAATATTTAAATGAGGTCACTGAGTTTCTTCACTTATCTAGGAAGCATCGTTTCAACCGCAGACATTCGTAACGGATGGAAAGGCAAGATACACCTTCATCAACCTGAAACCAGTTTGAAAAATCTTCTGGACTGCACTCTGCCAGCATAAAGAACCAGATTCAAATTTTCAACACAAATGTCGGAGTCAGTTCTTCTATACGGGTCACGTAAAGCATTTCGATTATCAACAGATGCCATCTTCGCTGGTTGCATATTGAAGATCAAATAGCCAGCAGGTTGGTCAGAAAGAATTAGCAACAAGAAACTATAAGGACTAACTGACCAGGAACCTATCGTAGAAGAAAAGTGGAGATGGAGTGGACACACACTGAGGAGACCGTGGAATGACATCGTGCGGAATGCAGACCATCGCTTCAGTGGTGGAATCCCAATGGTAGACGGCAGGTAAGTCATCCGGCGGTGACATGGAGGCGATCGTGTGGAGAGAAGGAGATGGCAGATCATAAGAAGTCGTGGGTTCAGTTAAAGAAGACAGCATGACACAAAACAAAGTGGAGATGTGCTGTTGAAGGCATATGTTCCTCTCAGAACCTAAGGAAACAATAATAATAATAAGTATTCAAATACTTTTCCAGAAATACCTACAACAGCACGAACACAACTGAAAGTTGACACCAATCCTCCAACGAAACCTGAAGTTTTGAATGCAGTCAAGCTTCTGAAAGCTGGAAAAGCGGCTGGACCAGATGGAATACACCCTGAAGCATTGAAAGCGGACCCAGAGACTACAGCAGATATGCTGACTTCATTATTGCAAACGGTCTGGAAGGAGAGAAAGGTGCCTACTGACTGGAGGAAAAATTACCTCATGAAACTACCAAAGAAGGCCAACTTAGGACTCTGCAAGAACTGGCGAGGAATCATGCTCCTATCGACGCCAAGTAAAATCCTGAGTCGCATCATCTTGGAGAGAATACAGAATGCACTGGATACATAATTCCGACCAGAACAAGCTGGATTCAGGAAAGTCAGGCAAATCATGTTCTGACCAAATTGCAACTCTACGCATCATCATCACAGGACAAAGCATGGAATAGCAATCAAACCTCTACCTCAACTTTATAGACTTTGAGAAGGCCTTCGACAGGCAGCGTTGACCGCGAAGTAACTTGGAAACTACTCGAGTACTACGGCGTACGGTGCCCAAATATTCATCAACCTTATTCAACAGCTGAACGACAACGGCACATGTCAAGTGATCCACAAGGGAAAACTCAGTGAGGTGTTCGGAGTGAACACAGGAGTCAGAAAAGGTAGCTTATTATCACTCACTATGATATTCCTAATTGTGGTGGACTGACTGGATTATGCGTCAGAAAGTGAGTGGGAAACGAGAAGACAGGGATATCCTGGACAGACAGACGTGAAGAACCTAGAAGATCAGGATTTCACGCGTGGATGATTTATGTTTGATGTCAATGTCACAAAATCGAAGACTTACAAGCGAAAACCGACCGACAAACTGGTCGAAGAAGCAGCCGGCGAAGACATGACTCCATGTGAACATAGACAAGACGGAGGTTATGAAAATAACCAACCAACCAACCAACAACGACAGCAGAAACATCCAGCTCCAATCACCATCAACGGGATGGATTTGAAAGAGGTTAGCTACTTCATTCACTTCACTTATCTATGGAGCATTGTCTCAACTGGAGGAAGTCGGAACGGACGAGGATGTCAAATCGAGCGAGAATCGGGAAGGGAGGTGAGAAACACACTCATCAACCTGAAACCAATCTGGAAATCTTCGTCACTGAGCCACCATCAACAACAAAATTCAGTCGGATTTTCAATACAAACCACGTCACGTAAGTCATTTCTTCTATATGGATCAGAAACTTGGCGAGCGGGCGGGTCACAAAGAATATTTGCAACAGCCTGTTGCAGACCTTTATCAACCAACAACTGTCTTCACTGGATCTATACTGAAGATCAGATGGCCGGGCTGGGAAGAATCACCAACAAGAAACTATGGTTGAGAACAAACAAAGCAAGAACCAATTGCCAACCAACAAATATGCAGGAGAAAGTGGGGATGGATTGGACACTCGCTGAGTGAGGAGGCCGGTCAGTGACATCGCGCGCGCGTCAGGCCATTTCTCGAGTGGAACCAGGCCGAAAGAGAAGTGGTGAGTGGGACGTCAGTGCAAGGGTGACATGTAGGCGATCGTGTGAAGAGGAGTTGAAAGAGTATGGACTAACATGGATGGATGCAGGTGAAAAGTACAGCAGAAGGCAGAAGCAAATGGAGACGTGCAGTTGAAGCCTTATATTCCATTAGGAACCCAAGGCAACAATAATAATAATAGGTATTCAAATGCTTTAATTGATATCATTCAACCTGCTTATTTAATCTTACTTTAGTTTCTAAGCAATTTGTTACCTAAAACTTACAATTCTAATAAATACTTTAATTATTGATCATAAATTTGACGGATAATAATGTCATGTGATTAAGCAGAATAATGAAATGGAGTAAAAGCCTCCGTTTGTGTAAAAATTATTGAGTTACGAACGAATATTTCACAGTGAATAAGCGGGGCATGTGTGGTGGGGTAAAATCGACAGTCACTAATGCAAGAGCTAAATAATCTACTTGAACAGAGGACAGAGAAAACAGATCGATCTGGTCAAGAATGTAGATCAAGACAAAATTAGACGAGGCGATTATATAGTTAGAACAAAATTAACAAAAGCAATTAAATAATGTTAAGTGTATTCACCAAGGTAAATCAAGACTGACAACAGTTTCATTTTGAATGGATAAATTTGGTTTCAGTCTTCCAGTGGGAATCGCTTCTGTGATGCGTATCACCCTGGAACTGTCTTAAACAACTTTACTGGTCTTAAAGGCTTCTAATGCATCGATTTCACAACAGATGGTGAACAATTGCACTACTAGGTACTTTTGTATCTTTCACATGCAAGTTTACAGGATTATTCTAAGATTATTCTAAGTGCGTCGGTGGCACAGTGGTTAGGGCTCTCGCCGACCATGCACATGGTCCGGGGTTCGAGCCCACGCCGGCGCATACCTGATATCTATGGTCGGCCTGCGAAATTTGGGCTACCGATATCCATGCTGAAAATTCCATACTTGTACCAAAAATACGGTGTGGAATCAAGCTGTAAATCAAAAATAAAAAAATAAAATAAAAAATATGCAGTCAAAAATCCAAGGCTGAGGAAGGCTGATCTTTTCTACTGTATCAAATATAGATTTTATATTTAGTAGCCTCTTGTGTTTATGAGTGAATTTTTGAGGATATCCATAGTCAAGTATTGGTTTTGTAGGGAATTTGGTTTGATTGGTTGGAGGATTTCATCATGAGCTGACATCAGTTAGAGAACCGCTGGAAAACCTGCAGGGAGTACTGGACAGCTCTTATGTCATGGTTTCGACAGGGTCTGAACTCAGGACCTTCTGGTTACGAGGCTAGAGAGCTCGTAGACCACTGAGTCACTGGGACCCGATCCAATGGCCAGCTCATGAATTCTAACTTCTACCAATTCATGACATTACGCGACCACTTCGTAATGTCTTCTTCAATAAGTTACTGCCTCACCTTCAACCTGCTGTACTCTACTGGTCACGGCTTTCCACTAGAATCCCAGTTAACTGCCTGGATAGGGTAGGTTGCTAGTAAGCATTAGTTGTCAGCTCATGATGAAATCCTCCAACCGATACCCATTATCTCATAAACACTCTTCACCGATAGAGAGCTCATCACCAGGTCTTTCTTTCAAACAAAGTTTCTCAATGCAGTATAGTGATGTCCTCACCAGACATTTCTTGTAGCTTATTGGATGAAAACTATAGTCCTTCCCAGAATTCTTAAATTATATCGACATATAGACTTTAGTGTATGTATGCTGGAAATATAGACTGTATTTAGATTGCATAATTTCAGCAAATCTGTATAATTATCATAAATGTGAACATTTATTGATAAATTCTTCTGAGTGACTGATTTAATCGAATATGTCCTGTGGAATTTTCTTCATAATTACATTTCTGATGCAAGAGACAGTTACACACCATGCAGTGGATTTTTAATTCCATGTTTGATCAGGAAGCGGTGAAAATCAGGTAGTATTAGGTAGCTGTTTCGTCCCTGTTTGGGGCTCTTTGGGAGTATGCAGCCATGACCCCAATATCAGGGATCAAAAGTAAGACCTTCAGGTTTTGAAATAATAGAGGAGATTTGTAACTCAGGTAGATGATTTGCAATTCATAGTGTTTTCCCAGTAACCATCTTTACATATGTATTGGCCATTTTCTATTGACTTGGATTTTAAACTTTCTCCTCATATGATTTACTTTTTATTGGTTGGTATATTTGGTCTATATTAACGTGTTTGTTAGTTGCATATTCGTTTAAGTACCAGACGTTTAGGAATTCCCTGACTGCACTTTTGGTGTTTCCTCTGTCTAAGATTTCGACATTATCCCAGTAGATTGATGTCTATAATTGTCTATGTGCATTGATATGAAAGAATATATATATCGTATCCTTTCACGGTTGATTTGTGTTCTTGGATGAGGGTTCGAAGGTGACGCCCCTTTGATCGATGTAATGCCTGTTATAGTTCATACAATTTATTTTGTAAATGGTATTAATTTTATCTCCTTTTTCTGTTGGATCTTTCCGTTTGCACAATATCGAATGAAGTGATTGTGTTGACTGACTGGCTTGTATGCCATATCTATATCAAACGGTTTCAGAATTCTAGCTGTTAAATTCAGAGAGATTATTCATATGCGCTAGGATGAATTTTCTTGTGGTCTTTAGTGATGGTTTCTTGTTGGTGTTGTGTTTCGATTTTAAACACTCTTCGATGAAATTTTGTAGATAACCATTCTTCTTGAAGACCGTTTGTAGGTATTTTTCTTCCATTCTTTTCAACTCTGGAGTGTTACTGTGTGTTTGAATTCTTTTAAACTATGTCTGCATACAGCTTCTTTTGTGAGTGAGTAATTGGATTATTGGTAGTATAGTTGAGTATTTGATCTGTGTGCGTTGATTTTCTATATACTTGAGTTTGCAAATTTCCTGTGTTGGTTCAGGGTACACGGTGAGCTTATAAACCATTCAGTGATTGGAATGGAGTCAGCAGTGCATTCAGTCTAACTCCTGGTAATTCGGGATATATATATATATATATATATATATATATATATATATATATATATATATATATATATTTATATTCGTGGAAGGCTCCTGTTAGTGTATAAAGAAAATAAAAACTAATGATTCAGGGCAGAGACGTTTTTCAACAAATTTATTATCAAACTGTACAATCGAATATATATATGTATGGTTATTAGTAAATTATTTCCGGTCAAAGGTGTGAATACATGAAATAATAATAGAATGAAATGCAACTGAAATATCTGTGATTATAATCAAAGTGAGCTTTCATTTCCGCGATTTAAATTTATCAAGAAGAATCAATGGAACTATGAAGAGATCGATTTGTAGAAAGCTGTCATGGAATGGTAAACTGACAGATTTTTACACTTGGCCGTTCATTGGTCGAAAACGAAACATGATCCGGTCATTTGTCACTCGCATTCGGCGCATATATAGTCCTGATGTTGCAAAGGAAGAGTTAAATCTTCTAAGGGAAATCCTAATGGAAAATGGATTTCCGCAACGTTTTATGGGCGAAAATATACACTCAAAACCTTTGAAATATGACCTTTGAAATATATAACGTGTCTAACCAAGAGAACGCTGTACATGAGCCTTGAATTCTCAAAGGTGACTTAGCTGGTGACATCATTAAAATAAAGGGGTCTCACAGTGTCCCTGGAAATGACATTCTCTGTTGCATCACTGAGAATAGCGTTTTCTGGTTAGCCATTACTGTTCAGTAATATGAAGGGCAAGAGCCTGCAGTTGACTCTGGTCGAATGGAGATGGACATATCAGTCGTTCGACTCTACTTTTGTTTAAGAGAGTCAAAGAAAACTATCCTGCATGGTTACGAAGAGGTGGAAATGGAGCTTTAAGAAGCTCAGTCATTGAACATCTGGGCGATATTGATCACCCTATCTTCACAGCCCCCACCTTTAAAGTCATCTCCAAGGCGTAAAGTAATTTGCCCAAAACACGATGTTTCCTACTCATCTGCATTGATGAAGCCATCTTTGGACATCGAAGCAGAAAAGCAAGATCTCAGTATACAGAAAAGTTTCGTTCAACCCTTCCGACATTCAAGGTTTAAATGTTTATGCTAAAGTATGGTGATCCCTATTCACATTTTGCCTCTATTTGTTTTTCTTTTCGTTTATTCACTTTGTATACTCTTCTATAATTAAAAGAAATTCGTTGAAAAGAGTCTCCGCTGAAACACTTGTTTTAATTATATAAAAAGTATATATATACAATAACTAGTGCTCTCGTGGGTATAAATGTTCCTTTTTAAAAAATAACCTTTTTGCAGCTAATCAAAGCATTTTTGCCATCTATGTTGGGCAGTGGAGATAATTGGCAGTTCAGCGAACAACATCGAAAGACGCCACATGGTCATATTGTTTGTATATCATCTGTTTCTGCTGTAATGCCTTTTCGTGGTTTACCTCTTTATGGTTCTTCGAAGGCTGCAGCCTTATCACTGATGGAGTCATTAGAACTGGAGCTTGCAAGTGTGGGGATTACAGATCAAATTTGTATAACAAAAGTATTACCCTATCTGATCAATACTAGTTTGATTGGTGGAATAATTGGAAGGTGAGTTCTATCGTTTTCCCAGTGGACTTGTTTAACACTGAATTAGGAGGAATTTTTCCCGAAATCCTTATATTTAAATGCGTTTAAACTGTTCACAGTGGCATTCCTTTTGTATAAGTATAAAACTTGGTCAATGTGGTAGATAGAGTATAACTCCGTTATGGATAAGATTTTATCTTGATAAACCACACAGTGTTTCACAGTAATATTAATTATTTTTTTTTTGACCACATTTCAAGCACAAATTATTGCTGCTCATAATCATATCAAGTGCGTCGGTGGCACAATGGTAGAATGCTGTGCGACCACGTATATGGTTCCGAGTTCGATCCGCTGCCGACGCAGTCTTTTGCGTCGGTGGCATAGTGGTTAGGATGCTCGCCGACCATGCACATAGTCCAAGGTTCGATACCCCGGTCGACGAGGCACACATTTACCTCGCTAAGCCAGAAATAATCCTGGTTATGAGGAAAGGTTGGGCATGAGGCTAGCAACCATATCCTGTTAAATAAACACTGCTACAGAAACTTCAGGCCACTACCTTGAAGCCAACCTATGTTCCACTGGGGAACGTGAAGGAAAAAAAATAATTATATCAAGTCACGGCTCACACAACTTTTTCTTTCACTTATATACATGAGTAAATCAAAATTGATTACACATTTGGATGAAATAAATATAAGAAAAAGTACATTCGTAAATAGTACTGTGTCATCAATCAAATACAATCAGGTGACAAATAAGACGAGTGTTTTTATGGTCATAATAAGTAGCTTGTTAGAATATTGTGCTGTACGTGAATTGAAATAAAATTTTAATATTATTTGACTGGTAATAATATCTTTGATATCTGTTGAGTCATTCCTATTGCACGTGTTAGGTGTAGATTCGATGAACAAGAATTCAGTAATCAATCTCTCTCTCTGTCTCCACCTACATAGATCAGATTACTTCTTAGAATTTTAACCCTCTCCCATTCTATTTTGTGGATTTGTGTTAATGCATGCGGTGGAATGCAGTGCTGAGCTTTTTTTAAATTAATCATTTTCTCGGGTGGGATCAACCATTCTTATCTTAGCTAAATTCTTATGTTCCCACAGACAATCTGACTACCCCAGACCTACTAGTTTGACCTATATAGTTGACGTCAATCACAGTCATTGCAAGATATTTTGTAAATTATATCATTTTGTTTTGGTGCAAGGAGGTTCAACATACTGAAGTTTCTTTAGCAATTTTTGTTTAGTTGGGTCAATCGACAGGGTCTTTTAGCCTACAGAGCTTGTCCTACCTGAGTGAGTTTGTAGGTTTGAATGCCACTCCAATTCCTGCTTTATTGAGAATCCTACTACGTAGGTTCTCAGATGTCCCCTCCTTATGTGGTATAACAGTGGATGACTTATATTCTTTCTTATTTATGTTATCATTACTAGTTTCACGATTATTTTTATCTTGCTTGTGACCTTTTTTCACCTTCCTAATGAATTTTATAGAATACTTAGTTATTTAACAGCAACGCGTCTTCTATCTGTTTTATTTCACCATTTAGGTCTTTTCTTGCACTACTTAGTACTACTGCTCGGTTTGTTGAACACTTAACTAAGCCTGCCTTAACAGTTAACGGATGAGATGAATTAAAGTCTAAATATCTATTAGCAGAATGCGTTAGCTTTTTATAAACGCTAGTGTGCAGTTTACCTTCTTCTATTCGTTTGATTTTACAATCTAACATCACAGCTAATTCTCCTTGTTCATTTTCCGATTCGAATGTGAATTTTATTCCCTCTACTAGTGAGTTTAAATGAGACAACAAGCTAGAGAGAGAGACATATGTTGTGTATTTAACACTGTGTGGAAAAGTGTCAGCCACATATACCCACCATATTTTTGGAGTAGGATTAAATGTATTAAGAGCAGTGTTTTCCGAGCTGTCCATAAATATATATCTGCTACGATAGGGGATATTGGTGGTCCCATCGAGGCTCGAACATCAACACTCACTGGGGAACGAAGGTACATCTAGTCGCTGATGAGTCCCAAATAAGACGAAATGCGCCTTATCCTAGATTCCACTGCTAGTCACCATTCACCAATTGACTTCTAATTACATGTTAAGCATAAAATTAATAGAGAGAATCACACTTATTTCAATGAACAAGGAAAAAAACAAAAAACCGACTAGCTAACGAACCTGATAATGAGCAAGTGTATTCACCTTGAGCATATCTTCAAAATCTTCCATAGTACCTTTTAGAAATGGTCCTCCTTTGAGAATACCAGCATTATTTACTAGCACTGTGATTCCACCATATTGCTGAATGATCAATTCAATGATTTTATCAACTGCTTGTTTATCTCTTTAAAAAGTGGTGTTATTTCCGAACTAATTCGGCTATGAATGTATAAAAACTTACTTCAAATCACACGTATACGTTTTTATTGAGCATCCAGTGACAGTGGACACTAATTCAGCGGTTCCATGTAATCCTTTTTCATCAATATCCAAGGCTAGATCTGACCTTCTTGGTTGTACCCGTTCCTGTTGCCCCTTGGTCCAAGCTTCCTTGTCCCACTGAATCCACTTCTGCAGATGGCTGATGTTAACCCATTTCTGCTTATTTCCTCTTTTGGTGGTCTATATGGGACCATGTCTCTCAGTGACAGTGTGTAGCCCTTCCTACTTCTGAAGTAGTTTCCGTGAACCTGGCTCATGTCTAGTCGTGTCCTTCCCTTCCCTGCACTTTACTTGATCGCCAACTTCAAAGGTTCTGCAACCCACTTTTTCTCCCTGTTCAGATTTCGCAGTGTCTTTATTCTGTTTACGCTTTACATTCCTGATGGTTTCTTTCCGTTCCGTTCGCAGCCTCGTTATATTCCACTCTTGATGGAGGGGACAGGTTGTGCTTTGTATTGGTAGTCGTGGTTCACTCTTCCATATATCAAATGAAATTGTGACTTTTTCATTGTTTCTTGGGTGGACGCACGATGTACTAGTAGAATCATTGGAAGGTCTGTTTCCCAATTACCTCTGTTCGAAGCCAACCACTCCTTCGGTGTACGCTTATTTCTCTTTGTCAGATCATTCGTTCGCAGATGATACGGTGTTGTTCTGATCCTCTTGATACGCAGTTGTTGCAAACGGGAGGTGAATTCTTCGCTTTCAAAACAAGGGCCCGGATCTGTCAGTATCGTCTTTGGTACACAATAGTCTGCAACGATGTCTCTAACTACTGTGTCAGTCATGGTTTTCTCGCATAGATCAGCGATGGTGACTGCGTCTACTCATCATGTAACGTGTTCAGTCATCACCAGGAGGCACTGATTGCCAGTAGATGTCTGAGGAAACGAAAACATTTCATCAACGGACCATAAGTCACCTACTGCCGTAACTAGAATCGGCTTCAAAGGCGGTCCTATGCACTGATCTTTTTTCATCAGCTGACACTCAGGACATCCAAGTTCATATTTTGCCATATCTTCTCTTACATCTCGCTAGTGCATACTTATCTCAGGAGGTCGGTTTTTCTGGAGTCTTCTGTATGAGCGAGCTGGTGACATTCTTGAATCATCTTGTGGCATAGGGAATAAGGCATTACAGCCAACCAGCTTCCATCGTTCTGTCACCAAGTTAGAGTTCCGTAAAATTTCACTCTTAATCGATCGTTCTATATGAGTAGCGTAGTCAGATACTTACTTCCCGTATGTTGATTCACTTCCATTCCGTTAGTGATGACTTCTATTACTCTATTAAGGGTAGGGTCTGGTTTGTGACAATGGGCCAGTCTTCATGGGCCTTGTTCTAATGCATGCACTCCATAAACAGTCTCCGGTAACTCAACTTTTCTTCCAGTCTAGGTAAAAAGTTGGCCAAAAAATTTTCTTTACCAGGGAAATGTGAGACCGTGAAGATATACTGCTGCAGGGGCAAAATTCATCGCGATAATTTCCCACGTGCGTCTCTCGCTGTCATCTTAAAATGTAGTGGCTTGTGATCGTTTCGGCTTGGAAACGTTGGCTGAGTTAATGCAGTCTCCATTTGTCTACCGCCTATATTACTGCTAAACATTCCTTCTCTATAGGCGAATACTTATGTTCTGTGTGTCTTCTGTCTTCTGTGTGTCGCTCCTCATTGAATTCGGAGCTCGTCGGAATAAGTATTCTAGCATCTATCAGTTCGGATGAGGCAGTCGAAATCCAGTGGATTTTACTCACCTTTGGATTCGCCTTATTCACAGCTTTTACAGCTGTATCTATAGCTGACTGAATATTCTTCCAGGCTTCTCCAGGGTGAGCACAGCTGTCGAACTCAGATATGCGTGTAGCTAGTTCTTCCTCAAATAGGGATTTAGTTTCCTGATCGAGCTGGGGACGTGATGGTTTTACCGCCAGCTGTTTCCTACGTCCGTTCAGTCGTAAGCACACACGAGCACGGACCAGTGCGTGGTCGGTATCTACACACGTGTTCCAGAAGGAGCGACAATCTCCTACCGACCCACGCCAACGATAGCTTATTGCTATGTGGTCTATTTGTGTCCAGCGTTGGTTTGATGATGGGGGTCGCCAGGTTAAACAGTGTCTCTCCTTGTGTTTAAAGTTAGTGCTTACGAGAAACAAATGATTATCTGAACAGAACTGTAGACGGTCACCGTTGCCGGTTCGCTGGCACGGGACTCCATAGGTGCCACCGATAACCTTCTCAGATTGACACAATTTCCCTACTTGAGCATTAAAGTCACCAGCTAGAACGACTATATCTGAGCGTTTAGCCTTTCTCACCAAACTAGACAGCTTTTGGTAGAACTCATCCTTCGTTTCATCCGAACTGCAGTCAGTGGGGGCGTAGGCGGAGATTACGAAAAGGCATCGGCGAGTAGTGCAGTCCTTTCTCCTTCTTACTGATCCGTTCAGACGGACAGCACACATTCGGCTATCTACCGGGATCCAGTCAAGCAATGTCTTTTCTGCCCTAGTACTCAAAGCTATCCCTACGCCAGCTAATCCTCGTGAACTAGCTGTGGCATCTCCTGACACCCTCAACGTGAATTTCGCAGATTCAACCTGTTGGCCAGGTGGAGTTAGGTGAATAACCACACTTGGGTCTTGTATGCGTGTTTCTGAAACACAGCATACATCAATGGCTCGTGATGCCAGGGTCTTGGCTAGTGATGCTTGTTGTCCTATTTGGCAATGTGTCTAGTGTCAAACGAATTGGATGACTTGCAAGCGAAAACAAACAACCTGGCCGAAGAAGCAGAAGACACAGGACTTCAAGTGATCTTAGGGAAGACGGAAATGAGGAGAATAATTAATCAACACCACCACCACCAAATATCAGCCAATACCAACATAATAACTGTGAAAGAGATGACTTCCTTCACTTATCTAAGCGGCGGCGTCGTTTCAACTACGCGCTGCGGTACTCATGAGGGTGTTCAAACCAGAATCACAGAGGCAAGACAAAACTTGATCACTCTGCCATAAGTTTGGAGAGCTGCTGCATCGGGTGCAGAGAACTAAATTCAGATTTTCGACACCAACGTTAAGCCACTTCTTCTGTATGGGTCTCACGTTTGGGTATATCAGAAAAAGCCTTTCCAGCAGGCTGCAGACTTTCATCAACAGCTGCGTTAAATGGCTACATAATGAAGATCAGAATGCCAGAAAGAGTTAGCAACACGTCGAGGAGACCTCGAGTGACAGCGCGCGCAGTGCATGCCATTGGTCGAGTGGAACTTGTGTGGGAATCGACGAGCTGCTCGTCCAAGTGTGACATGGAGGAGATCGTGTGGAGAGGAAGAGTTGAGAGATATTGGACAGTCATGAGCCCAGATGCAGAGGTCTTCAGAGAACAGGAGAAAATGGAGATGTGCTGTTGAAGACCTATATTCCGCTCTGAACCCACTGGAGTAATAAAATAGCAATACAAACCTCACATCCTTTTTTAATAGTATTGATTGAAACAACTAAGATTCTCTTTCCTATTTTAATTGAAATGGTCAGTTAACAACAATTAAGGTGTTCATCTTTGCTCAATACTCAGCAAATACTTCCTTTCACTGTTGGGAAAAAATTGCTTGATACTATATAATTTACTACTACAACCAAGGGTTTTAATTAAGTCTCTACAATGATTCCTGAAATAGTTTCTGAACCTGAACTGACTGCTGAATGCATAATAGGCTTTCACAAGTACTATTCCCACTGTTTCATCAAACGGAGGTTAAAAATACCTCTCTTCTTGTGAAATTTAACATTTTTAAATTATGTATATTAACATATTTTGAAGTATTCTATTTTTAGAAAGACTTGTGACGCAACCTGAGTGAGTATTGTCTGATTGGTATATATGTAACAACAAAAGACAAGAGCCAGGCAACAAATCGTTTTATTACGGAAATCAACACGTATTTATTTAAATTTCGCATACATTATTATAGCCTAGTCAAGTAGACAAACGCAGTCTTCTGATTGGTTGTTTGCGAGTTCCGCGGAAAGTGGAGCCATCTATCTGCGAATCACATTTGCTCACGTTTAAGTTTGCTGTGATTGGTTGTTGAAACAGCCTTGTTCATATTTTCTCACGGCCCATATTAGTGACCTAGACATTGACGTAGATTAATGTCAACCAATTGGCTAGCAGGCTGCTCTCACCATATATATATATATATATATATATATATCATCTGGATCTGCTTGCACTCAGAGTAAGTGACCATTGGGGCTAGAACCCAGCACTCATAGCATTAGACATCGAAATATTATCCACTAAGCTGTTGAATCACTAATCACCTATTCTGGGAATGGATGTTAGTTATTTATTGAGGTGATTGAACCCAGATGTGAAGTCTCTGTTGATATCTCGCCCTCACTGCTGGTCATCATGAACTAAGTAACATCATGCCAACCTTCGAGGATCTTCAGAACATCCATATCAGGAGCCAATATGTTAACGGGAATTGAATCTTTACATCGAATATAATCCGTCAATCGGGAATTCAAGGCGATATTGATAATTTCTCGGTGAACCGTACTGTAACTAATGGTTGCTTTTGTTGAACGCAGTTTTAATTCAGTTTTCATTCTCCCAATGATTGACTTGACCGAAATATTCGGTATATTTGGGTATTGCAGGTACACCCAATAGCAGAGGAGTCTCAAATATAACGACATGCGTCTCCTAGATTCCACTGCTATTTATGATCCACCAAATTAATTCACAGTATACCTTTGTATGTTTAAGCAGATTCCCTTGAGTGACTCAAGCAAAGTAAGTTTTTCTTGCAAACAATGTAATTCTAGTCTGTCAGTTTGATGATATAATTTCAATCTCTTGAATGCAGCTTTTCGTTGTCGTTTAAACGCCTTCATCGATGAAATTAAATAGTCTCGGAGTACACAGAAATTGAGCTGACAGTTAACTACACCGGGAATTGATTGTCCTACATTTTATTATCTTCAACGAATCTGTTTTTAAAAATACATTTATTGCTTATGTATTTCTGTTTTTTAGCCGTTCCAATATATTTCCTATCAATGATACTGTTTGGTGTGCAAAGCGGATTGTTGAAGGTGTTTTAAAAAATGAACGAGTCATTTACATTGGGAGTTGTATGCGTTTCTTTGCAATACTGAAACTGTGAGTGAATTTTGATACGAATTTTAATATTCTTAGGCAGTATGATTATTTTTTTTCTATATGTTAACTCAGTGAGATTAAAGCTGTTATTGGTTAGATAACCATTGAAAAACCTGAGAGTATTTGAGAGCCGTTTCGTCCTAGTTTGGGACTCTTCACATTACGCATCCAACATTAGGCCATTAGGTAGAGTCCCAGTGGCTCAATGGTCTACGAGCTAGCTTGCCTTGTAACCAGAAGGTCCTGGGTTCGAGCCTTGACGGTGGATGTGTACTGCTGAAGAGTTACGAATAGGAAGAAACAGCTGACTGTCCAAGTACTCCCAGGTTTTTCAATGGTTCTGTAACTGATATCACCTCATTCTGAAATTCTCCAACCAATCAAGCAAATCACTACAAACCACCAGCACTTGTTATTATTATTCCCTGGGGTTCCAGGTGGAACATATGGCTTCAAGAGCATATTTCCATTCCATCGTGTTGTCTGCAGTCCCTTCTAGCTGGCTCCATTATTGATTACAAGTTTTCATCTTCTCCTGAAACTATCTCCTACATATCATCCCTCGATTCATACCTAACTCGTCGTTTCGCATTCAAGAGCCACTTGAGGGCCTGGCACGTGATGCCATTCAATGGTCTTTCTTTAGCATGTGTCAAGTCTATCCCCATTTTATTCCTCATATTTGTTGGGCGATAGGTTTTTGGTTGGTTCATTGCACTAACACAGTTCCTCGTTGCTGATCCTTTCCCAGAAGCCATCTAATCTTCTTATTATATAGTCAGAAAATGCAACTGTTGATGGAAGTCTGCAGAGAGCTGTTGGAAGTACCTTACTTTTATAAAGTGCGCAAAATATCTGATCCATATTGAAGCAGTGACTGACATGACATCGGTGTTGAAAATCTAGATCACGTCCCTTATGCTGAATGCAGTAGATTTCCACACTCATTTACAAAGTAGTGAAAATCTCTCTCTCTCTCTCTCTCTTGCTTTCCATATCAAGTCTGGCTTTGAAATTCATATCCACGGCATTTTATAGTTCAAACGATACTAATGCAGGCGTATATAGATCATATTTTGTACTGGTGCCCTACCATATTGTTAGTGGGTATCTGTAATACCCAGAACGTCAATGATAGATACTTCTGTGATATATAATCAGGTTTCTTTATGCAATACAATAAAACATGTTATTAAGCAATTGTTCACAATATGGTTGGTTCATTTCACGATTCATTTATTATTATTATTATTATTATTATTATTTTTCACACCATTTGGCAACTAACTACTAAAAACAGTAGTTTCATTCTCCATGTAGAATAGATGGATGGAAAACTAAGCTGTAAGTCGTCTGTCTTTGTGTTAACTGCCCGTCAGATGAAAAAATCGCTTAGCGCTTTATGCATGCACACGCGTGAACATGTACCTGTATGGTTGAGTAAAGGGGTAACCAAATGCGTAAATAGTGCAGTCTTAGCCTATTTGGTAGGTACTGGACACCCACACCGATAAAACTTAATCAGGCGTTTTCAGTTATTTATCGTGTTCCTAGTAATCTATCTAGAGGAGCTCGACTACGTCTTCTATCCGTAGCTGAAGCGGTTGCAATTAATACCAGAGGATCAATTCTTTGTATACAGAAGAAGAAGTATGTTCAACTGCTGTGTCTACCTTGGCCTGCAATAAAGCTAACAAATCCTCCTTAAATATTAGCACTTTATATTCCTATCACAATTTTCTTTTTTTTTCTTTTCTTCTTCTATTCCATTGTTTGATTGACAAACGTTAATTTCCGACTTTTATGATTTCACCACCTTTCTTATGATTTCTGTTACCTTAGGTTTATGTAGTGCTTTTCTAACTTGTTATCGTATCTACAAAATCCTGTTCATTCCACTCCATTATATTCATTATTATTATTATGATTATTATTATTTGACAATCATTCCCCAACAGTACTTTTACAGCAAATCATTATTACTGTCGTTATTCTTACCCTTGAACTTACGTCTAGTCTGCCCCATTTGTTGGTTTATTTTCTCATTGACCATGGATATTAAAAAACTAACTGACTATTGTTTCATCCCATCTTACTTTTACTTGTTCCACAATACACTTTCTGATATGATTCTAATTTGCCTTTACTGGCTGGCTGACTATTGGATGCTTAAATTAAATTAATGGATTTATAATTTGTAGAGTCTAAGGAAGAAGAATTTATTGAAAGCATAATTGTTCGCTCGAACTATTTTGGTTCTGAATTAATTATGGGAATATTCAATTTATTGAATGAGTTATTTGTGAACCAGGCATAATATTCACGTTCACAGTTATTCACCACATTTATCTGACTCACAGTAAATCAATGTTATTATCAAAGCTGATCATACTGTATTGTGATAGGAACATAAAGTGCTAATATTTAAGGAGGATTTGTTAGCTTTATTGCAGGCCAAGGTAGACACAGCAGTTGAACATACTTCTTCTTCTGTATACAAAGAATTGATCCTCTGGTATTAATTGCAACCGCTTCAGCTACGGATAGAAGACGTAGTCGAGCTCCTCTAGATAGATTGCTAGGAACGCGATAAATAACTGAAAACGCCTGATTAAGTTTTATCGGTGTGGGTGTCCAGTACCTACCAAATAGGCTAAGACTGCACTATTTACGCATTTGGTTACCCCTTTACTCAACCATACAGGTACATGTTCACGCGTGTGCATGCATAAAGCGCTAAGCGATTTTTTCATCTGACGGGCAGTTAACACAAAGACAGACGACTTACAGCTTAGTTTTCCATCCATCTATTCTACATGGAGAATGAAACTACTGTTTTTAGTAGTTAGTTGCCAAATGGTGTGAAAAATAATAATAATAATAAATGAATCGTGAAATGAACCAACCATATTGTGAACAATTGCTTAATAACATGTTTTATTGTATTGCATAAAGAAACCTGATTATATATATTGCAGAAGTATCTTCCTAATGAATTTTACAGGATAGTTATTTAACATCAACCTGCTCTTCTTCTATCTGTTTCATTTCATCACGTAGATCTTTTCTTGTGCTACTTAGTGCCACTGCTCGGTTTCTTAGACACTTAACTAAGCCAGCCTTAACAGTTGAAGGATGAATTGATGAATTAATGTCCAAATATCTAAGAGCGGAATGCGTTGGTTTGTTTTATAAACTCTAGTGTGCAGTTTACCTTCTTCTATTCGTTTGATTTTACAATCTAACATCACAGCTAATTCTCCTTGTTCATTTTCCGATTCGAATGTGAATTTTATTCCCTCTACTAGTGAGTTTAAATGAGACAACAAGCTAGAGAGAGAGAGAGATATGTTGTGTTTTTAACACTGTGTGGAAAAGTTTCACACACATATACCCACCATATTTTTGGAGTAGGATTAAATGTATTAAGAGCAGTGTTTTCCGAGCTGTCCATAAATATATATCTGCTACGATAATGGATATTGATGACACGGGTAGAATAAGCTTTGGTATCAAATAACTATGCGAAAAAGATGCAAAACGAAGATCAGAAAAGACCAAAAGGAAGGTAAAAATAATGGGAAAACTAATAATGATGACATAAATAAGAGAGAATATAAGGCATTTACTGTTTTACCATAATAAGGAGGGGATATCTGAGAAGCTACGTAGTAGGCTTCTTAACAAAGCAGGAATCAGGGTAGCATTCAAGCCTTCAAACTCATTCAGGTAGGACAAGCTCTGTATGTTAAGAGACTCTGTCGGTTGACCTAATTAGACAAAACAATGTAGTTTACAAAATACCTTGCAGTGAGTGTAAATTAAGTCAACTACATAGGTCAAACTATTAGATCGGGTGTATTCAGATTGTCGGAACATAAGAATTTAGCTAAGGTAAGAATGGTTGATCCTACTCGAGAAGATATGTAATTTAGAAAAAAGCTCAGCACTACATTTCACAGCATGCATTAACACACAATCACACACAAGGGTGGCAGAGGGTTAAAATTCTAAGAAGTAATATAGGTTGGTGGAGGGATAGTTTGATTACTGAATTCTGCCTGGTTCATTGAGTCTACACTCAACACAACACATGCAACAGAAATGACTCAATGCAAATACCAGAAATATGGAAAATACTACTACCAATCAAATCAAGCGATGGCAGATAATGGAATTATATAAACGAAGTAAGAAAGTTTTGTGAGGGGTCCCTTGATATCATTATGAGCAGCAATAAATTGTGCTCGAAACGTCGTCATCAGTAAACTTAACTACGTAATACTGTGAGACTTTATCAAAATAAATTTTACCCATAATTGAACTTAATTTGCAGCTATAATAATAGGATGTCAGGCAAAAAGAAGGGGATGAGCTTCGTTCAAGGTAATACCTTATCGTATACATCTCTGAAGAAGAGAAATTCTAATCTTCTGAAGGAGACTTTTTCGAAACCCGAAAAATTCTCTTTCATATAACCGTTTTATCTGCTCATATGTGGTTAGATGTACACGGAATTATATAGAGCACACTTTCAAAACAAGTCAAAAGATACTACTCACCTCCTCTGTAGATAAGCAGAAATGTTTCTAGCGTAAGTGCTATAGTGGAAAAGTTAACGGTTGTTTATCATGACACTTGAACAAAACGCATCATTCGAATTCTATTTACACTAATGCTTAAAAGGTTTTACCTAAGGTATTTGATAGAAATAAAGTTACGCTGGCCAACGTACAGGCCTACAAAGAAGTTCATCAGTTCAGCCTGTCAAGTTTCATAACGAAAAATGGATATAAAATAGAAAAAGTCATTAGAAATGTTGAAGTTGTGGAGTTGGTTATATATGAGGATATTATTCCTTTGGGCTCGGAGTGGAACACAGGAACACATCAACTGCACAACTAAACTTTGTTCTGTTCTCTGCAGACCTCTTCAACTGGACCCACAACTGCCAAAAGAGTCTGACTTCCTCATCGAGCTTTGCTACTGTCGTACAGAGT